ATAATATTATTATATATACACTTCGCTTCCTTTCTTCAAAAAAATTAAGTTCATTGAACCGAAGGAACCTAACTGTTAAGATTCTTTCTAGTTCTAGTATGTTTGTTAAACCGATAACCGGTAAAGTCAAAAGGCTGAATGATTTAAAGAAGGCAAAACCAACTCCACCAACTAATAAATCTTGTCGATGGTAAAATCCAATCAGTTCGAGGGGTTTGAGGAGAAATAATAAAGTCATCAGAATCTTGAAGTCACTCCAATTTCTTAATGGAATGACTGGCAAGTGAATTTTGATCTCTTTCTCCATAGGAAGACACAATTTCTTGGGATTGATCCTTCATAACAATTTAGAAAGTGTCATAATGATAGACGAGTGCTTGTAACAGAAAGAATCCAATTTATAAGTATGTACAAAGAGGTCTTTTTTTCTTTCTTTCTTTTTAGTTTGGTATAGTTTAAATTGTAAAGTTTATTTTGTAATTTAAATGTATTAGACTATAGAATAGAAAACTCAAATGCATATACCATGAAAAAGAGAATGACATAGTAATATCAAAATTTCTATGGTTTAGTTTGACAATACTAACCTATAGCTACAACTATAGGTTTTTTTACTAATTTAACATTTTAAAAATATATAAAATATATTTAATATATTTAATACTTGTTTTAATCAATATTTTACATATTTTTAAAATAATAAAAGGACATAAAAACTAAAAATTGAAGAATCGAAAGGCTTTCTCCAATGAAACCTATATATCCAAGTGCTTCCAATCTAGCATGCAAGATCTTCATCCTTCTTGTTGATTTTGTGTTTTTCTACATGATCTTGGTCCAAGATATGACCTCTGAAACCATGCTAATTAATATCCCCACTTTACACCACTGTAGAGTTTTAAATTCAATTGTAACAGGTAGTAACAGATATTTGGGAAAGGATGTAGGAAACCGAACCCACCAAAGCACATAACAGATTACCATATTTAACCAGTCTCTGTAGTATATGCGAGGTTCCAAACCAACCAACACCACAATACTGTATGTGACAACAGATTTTAAAGACAAAATCATGCTTGTGATTCCTTTAGCATTTGTTGAGGGTAGTGATAGATCTTCGAGTAAAAATCTTCGTAACCAAAAACAAAAAACTATATAACTGATTATTGCAAATAACCAATCTTTATAATCAGCCACAGGATATATGAGAAGAGCGAACGAGAACATGCCTTGTGCAACATTTACAATGGCTAAAATCATACCGCCGATTCTTCTGGTATTTGTAAGGCGCAATGAGCTCTCTTGGGAATTGAACTTACAAAACTGGGCACACCAAAGCATAACACTGATTGCCTTAGCTAACCAATCTTTATAGTTAGGCAAGGGAGGTTTGACAACAAAAGATACAAGCAAAGATCTTGCGAAATGTGCAACACTTGATGAAAAAAATAAAAACAAGCTAGTGCTTCTAGCCATGGTATTTGTAAAGGTCAATGATTGATCTTCTTCCAAATCCAACCAATACTTATCTAACCAGCTTTTGAAACTAATCAGCACAAAACAAATGGAGGCAATTATCCATGACGGAAACATGAACTTGAACCGGTTGTAAGTAATCGATCCAATGACTCCAATGATGAAACTAAACAACCCAAAGTCTGTCCGCGGCTGTAATACAACTAGTACACATAAAAGAAAAATTGCGATGCACAGCACAGCAATGAGGCTCCTTAATGAATTATCGTAAAATCTTTCAAAAACAAGTGCTAGAATAAAGAAGGTGATGTTTGATGTTGAATTTGTTATGCAGCTAGATCTTCCACGTAGAATTTTGAGTTGACTCCAAACGTTCGAACGATTTAGCAAGTCAAAGGCAACATGCAACAATAATAGTGTTTTGGCCCCACTTTTATCATATTTTGAATTAAAATCTGTATCCAGCAAGAGAAATGTGGCGAAGAAGAGGGCAAGCTTACCGATCAACTTGGCCTTTAGCTGACCCTTTGTTGCTTCATTGTTGAGATGCATTTGGAGGACTTCAGATAGATTCTTGATCTTCTCATTAATCGGATCTAGCAAAGCTCTCATTGCTAATTGGCAATAAACCTTGAGCATTTTCCATTGATTACTCAGCTCATCTTCAATCCAATCCTGTAGAAATATAACCCCAAAGATAAGACGAGTAACTGTCAATAGCGGATGAAACTTAACAAACATCCTCACAATTTTCACAATTTGTGGCACTGCAGTTGAATCTCCCATATCTTCCATTGTGGAGAAATATGAGGAAGAACAAGCAGCACTGGTGATTTATTCCTTATTAGTTAATTCTTCAGTG